TAGGAAACTGGAAGTAACTATAGATTTGGTCTTTATTTTTATACATTTATTATTGGCCCGGCTGGCTGTCTGCACGTTTTCTTGGTAACTAAAGTGATTGGAAAAGTCCGTCTAAATGTCTGTCCGCAAAATTTAATGGAAATTATATAAATTAGTGTATTAAGATATTTAAAACCAAACAAACAAAGACTGTAAAATTGATTTAAATCCTTTGGCGATTAATCAAGAAAAATAATAACGATCGATTCACGTTAAAGTTATGATCGATCATCATCAATCAGGATTTTTCATGTTTTCTCTTAAGTTTATCTAAATCCTACTCGATGTTCATCTATCACTTTAAATGACTTAAAAGAAAAGGGCTTACGTTAATGTTCGATCCGTCTGGATGTCGGCACGCTTTCGAATAAATATCGCGAAAACGGTTGCAGATACAAACTTGAAATTTTCAGGATAGCTTCAATGATCTTAGATAAATCCTTCGGGCGAATTTGATCGCGATCGAAGCATTACGAACGCTCGTTTGTCCGGTTGTCTGTCGTTATGTCTTTAGTAAATATCTCGATAATGGTTCGAGATAAATGCTCGAAATTTTCAGGATATCTTTAATGTTCTGTAGTGCTGCGTTGAGCCAAGTTTGAGCAGGATCGAAGCATAAAATACGTCTGTTTGCCTGTCCGTTCGTTCGCGCGCTTTCGTGAAATATCTCGAAAACTGTTCGAGATCGAAACTTGAAATTTTCAATATATTTTCAAACACGAAAAATGTAATTTCGCCTTAAATTTCATTGAAGTCGAAGCATTTCCAACGTCCTAATTTCGAAAAAGAAATCGTTTACACAAGTACAAAAATCCATTAACAACACCGAGTTAATCTCGCTTACTTATAAAATTGTGAAAAACGTATGAAAAATGGCTTCCAAAGAATAAAATAACGGGTAGAATTTCGTAATAATATACACGAGTGAAATTCTAAACTAATTTAAATACGTTTCAAAGTTCGCCCTTCTCGATTTATCGCTTCTCTTCATAAATTCTATGAAATTTTTTTAAATGAAAACTTTCGAATATTCTCAAATTTATTAAATACTTTACAACTGAAAATCTTGATTTACAGTGGTGAAATGTGAAAAAGGCCCTCTTGGTTCCCCGTGCACACTAAAAGAGGGCCTTTTCACCAGGCCACACGGCGAGAGACGGCCACGACACCGAGAAAAATCGCTCATGAAAAGTTTTCGGGGATTCGATCCCGGATCCCCCAGAGCGTTAGACTTTTTATAATTTAAAATAATTTTTTATAAAGAATATTTTTATATATTATTTAAATTAAAAGTTAAAAGAAATAATTGATGATTAAACAAAAGATATAATTTAAAATAATGCTAATAATTTTATATATTTTTTTCTTTTTTTTAGGAATAGGCAGATGGCGCTTTAAATTATCGTTCGATCGCTGTTATATTGTATAGCGTAAAGGGTCGAAGTTGAAAACCTCTTAGCGCGTGAAATATTTGACATTTTCGAATTTTTGAAATATTTTGGCAACGTATTCGTCACTCCTTTTCCATTGCGCCATCTCGTTTCTATTCAGAAATTTTACTTCTATTGAAACTTCGCAGTTGAAGTCTACGCGACACGCTTTAGTGCATCATTTTTAATTCCACTCGCATAATAATCCGTAATTAATATGCAGTCGAAATTTTGAATGATTTTTGCATTTATAAAGTTAAATAGACATGCTGCATCCTTCATTAATTGACTTCCATCGTCGGATAGCGGTTAAGATGACAGCCTACCGCTCTGGGGGAGCCGGAATCGAATCCAGACGAGTCGCAAAAACTGCAAATTTTCGGGGAGGCCGAACCCATAATGGTTCGGTTTTGCTTAAAAGGCCATCTTAGTAAAAACGGGACTTTTAAAAAAGCCTCCATCGACATATTAGAATAATCGCGAAAAAAAACTCTTCAATATGGCGCTCCTCTGTACAATATCGAAGTATTGTTACAAGCTTTGAAGGGGTTTAACGAATACTTTTTATCCTTTTCTTCCAATATATTCGGTCGCATTATATGGCATTTTTATGGGGATTTGAAAAACACACCGTGTGATTGACCTCCATAAAAACTCTGTAAATCGATAAAAATATCTTGATCGCTCGTTTAAGGGGACAATTTTACGTTGTAAAAACTGCTTGACACGCCCTAATTTTAACGCTGATTTCAGACCCCTAAAACGTAGAAAAAATCGCTCTCTCTCTCAATTTTTAATGCGCTTGCAACGCGATATATTGATTCGTTAAAATAATTTTTTAAATATTAACAAGATTAGACACGTTGTAACATGTTTAATATTGTTAATATTATAGTTTAGTTGCGGCAGATAACCTTCAAATGCATAAATATGAAATTTATACAGTGAAAGTAACGAAAATCGATAGTAACTACTACTTTTTTTCCGTAGGAATTAATTTAAAATCGATTTCTGTTGATCCCATCTTCTAGTCTAGTGGAAGATTGGGGGATAAACTTCCACTAGAGTAGAAGATAGTGTGATGGATGCTGATGGAGTAGAAGATATCCGGGCTATAAAGATGTAGGAAGTAGGCCCTAGCTGACAGGACAGTTTCTCTCGGATCTCGGCACTGGTGGGCCCCAAAATTTAGCTTTCTGTGTAAAAATATTAATAACTTTCGGAGTGGGATAGAGGCCCAATAGTTACTCTCTCGCGCAAACGTTTTTTAATTAAGAAGGGTCTAAAAGTTTATTGTTTATATAATAAATGTGACTTTCGGGGGAATTTATGTCTTAAAATTTAGTTTTTACTGTAAAGAAATGGCTTCCGAAGAGGAGTAGAGGACCTAAAATTTAGTCTTCGAAGAAGAGAGAGGGTACCATAGTCAGTGATTCCTACATAGGGTTTTTCCCCTAAATATGAAGGAAAATCAGAAGAATGGAGGGTAATTTAGAGGAAAAATGTCTATATATAGTGATTAGTGAAGCGCCGAATAGGAGCATTCAGTTTTTAAAGAGAACTCTATTAATTTCAGGGGAAATTTCAGATGTTTAGGGGTTTTTACGATAGACGGTTGGCAACACTGACTGTATTTGTAAGAAACCCGAGCCCAACCAGAAAATTTATTAAAATATTGATTGATCGAATATATTCTTTAAACTGGAACATCAAAAGATCCTAAATATGCATCCATAAAAATAATAAAAATGGGAAATGGATACGAAATGATTTAAAACGTGACCCTAATAGCTATGAACGAACTTTTATAAGAACGTAAGATAAAATTTTCGTCATTAACTTTTATGTTACGGCACTAAAACGTTCGACAAATGAAAGAACTTTTGATCTAAAATCTATTAAGGTTAACACATAAGGTCGAAAATGGCGGAACTTTATCTAGTCCACGTGATAAATAGGTAACATCGCTTTAAGTGTTGCCATCAATCTCATAAAATATGAATTTAGCCTAATTAATGCACGAATGGTTTTAATGAAAGTGGTAAATTCTAACATTTTAACAAGATTTAAGCATAAAACAAAATTAATAAATAATAAATTATGAAATAAAATAAAATAATTGACGTTTTTTAATTAATTTAATATCAATATTTTTTTTAAAAAATGTATAGATGTCGCTTTGCTTTTATTTTCCAATGTCGTCATTACTTTATGAAAATTAAGATAATTATACCAAAATATATATATATTAATATAACACACAAAAAATATAACTACAAAAAAATATTATGTTTTATTAATATGCCGGCCCTAGTCATACCTGAAGAAAATCAGGCAAAGGATTAAAATTTTTGGGTTCCAAATACTGTTCTTCTTCTTTCTCGTGTTCTATTGTTGCATGACTTTGTTTTTCAAGTGTTTTCATAAAATACAAAGCTTACACAAGTTACAGTTAGTCTTCTATTTCAATTGTCTTCTTCGCTCCTTTTTGGAAAATCTGGTCCAAACGCATGGCATTCTTTTCTAAACGAAATGAATTTGTATGTTGTATGAATTATGGCGATTCTCGGTGTTACACCGAAATTCAAATTGTATCTACACACATAAATGACACTATGTGTTACAGTAGCGTATGTAAGATTTTGAGAATACGTGTGCTGCTCACGGTATATTAGAATTACTTTGGTAATTAACGTTACTTAATTGAAGTCGTGTGATATGCTACAATGGTACAAGGGATGTACCAAAGCATAATAAACTTTGTTTATTAAATAATTTACTAGCAAACCTAAAATATAACTCCCAGGAATTTTTTTAAATGACGTTTCCAAAACATGCATCAATAACAGCACTTTCAATAACCTAAATAGGGTTTATTACTCGTAATGGCGGACGACTCACATAAATTACATATGGCGGCGCCCATAGTTTAGACTGTTAATTAGATGTATAATATGGAAAGACGGTTCATTGAGAGTGTATGAACTCACACGCAAAACAATTGTGCTGATATTAATCTAGATATTTAAAATATATGCTCTCCACCTGAAATTAGTAGTGACTTGCCCCCCGTACATCATACTTTTCTTTGACAATAGAGTCGTGTCGGTCATCTATTATTAACCGCTTTCTGGGGAGAAGTTTTGAATTGAAATAACGTGACCTCCGGTTTGCATGGGAAGTTCGTATTTAGTTAATTGGGGCCTCCCGTCCTTAAGGTTTCCATATATGGTCTAGGATTTCATCTAACTCCGTTCTCCGGATTAAGAAAGACGGTGGACAAACGACAGCGGGTATAGGTCTATAATTTTTTCAAATTGCAGCCCCGTAAGGTCACAGGTGAGTTCTTTGTGGCTCGATCTGTTTATTCTCCTTGTCGGGTTCTGCCTCTTCGTCCTTCACGGGGATTTCATGGTTTAATAATGCAATTTTCACACGAATTTCGCATAGAATTAATTTTCACTACTTTGAGAAAATTTCGTAGAAATTTTACCGCGTTTTTCATCTAAAAAAAAAAAACAAGTCTTATGCGTGAAAATTGGTTTTAATCGCGAGTCAGGATCTTACAATTATTAACAAAAGTACACGATTCTTCTGGTATATAAGGTATCTTACGAAAGGGTATTGCACGAGGTACAGGAGTACACGAAGGTATTTCATATTGCACAGACGTTAAAGCTTAATTTTGGATTTCAAAGAGGCAAAGATCACGATCCAAACGAAGAAAAGTGCCAAGAGAACCCCTAGAGTAATACTTTTGTACTTGGCCCAAGATTCGAATTTGATCGATTTTTTAGGTTTATCTTGAATAGAAGATTGAACAGTTGAACAGTGGCATTGCATGCCTTTCTCTACGCACGAACATGGATGTTTTTCGTGATTTGGGTACGTTAAAGTAGTAGTTTCGGGTTTCTCTTTGCAGCATTCCTTGCTTTCCGCTTGTTCGTACGAAGAGTTGGTTACCTGGAAGAGAAAAAGTTTGAAATTTTGCTTTGTTTTTTGTTAAAATTTCATTGAAAAATCGAACTTTTTTACATTTTAAATATGATTCTTATGATATAAAGTAAAAATTTCGTGTTATTTAGGGATAAAATACAGTTTTGTTCCCGAAAACATGATTTAAATAAAGAAAAATGATACTTTTGGGGTAATTTCTTTAAAAAGTAATATATTTTGGGGTAATTTTCCGTTAATTACCGGGTACTTTTCCCCCCAAACGTATCGTTATTTGTAAAGGTGTTTCGAGTCTAAAACCATCGGCACCCACAAGCCCGTGTTTGTGGAAGATTTCTATTTCCCATACGGGATCGAACCCACGATTTTTTAAGCATGTTTTCTTTTTAAACTTTCTCTACGTTGCCAGCACTAAAAGGGCCTTCATCGAGCTTATCACAGCTTTAAAAAAAGGGCCCTCTTCGTGGGTGGTTCGTCGCCCGTATCCTCAATGAAGGCACAAAGTGATGAGGATTAACAAATTATAGTAGTTCTATGCCGAATAACATTGGGTTCTGCTCAATTTTGGAGATTTTTAACGAATAAAAATATATTTTAGGGACTTTTTATTTTGTAAATAACGGTATCTTTTGAAGAATATATTTAAACAAACACACCTATATAAACAAGATACAGTTATTTAATAGGGAGATTTACAGTTATTTTCACGATAAAGCTATTTACAATGGGCAAGATAATAACTATTGTCGAAAATGTTAATATGGCAAAAAAAAACATACTTTTCTACATAAATTAAGAAAGAATACTTCAAAAAATCCCAAAATTCTGCTAATAAATGCATCAAAATGAATGAAAATTCCTAGCCTTTTTTTCCTTCAGAAAACAGGTTAAAGTGCAAACCAGAATAACCTCTTATCAACAGGTTGTCTGAGTTTTATATAAAGAAAAAGAATATAAAAATTATCTTTAAATGATAATAAAATGATAATTTTAATCATAAAAATTGTAAAATGTTAAATTTTAAGTGAAAAAAAACAAATTTTTTTACGTATTTTTAGGAAAATTTGAGAGAAACTGCACACTTTGACCTGTTTTTAGGACAAAGAAACTAGCTTTCAAGGCCAATAAATAAGCAAATTTTAGCAATTAAACGAGGAATTAATTAGTTAATTAATTAAAATACTTAATTATAATTGAATAATTATTTTAGAAAGTTTAATTAAATAAGAAATTACACTTACAGAACCGTAGCTACTTGTGAGGTAGGTTGAATCATCGCTTCGAACTGGACTGACATTCAGCAACTTGACGTTCATTTTTACTTGTGTAAATTGTCTTCTATCACCTTTTGTATCACGTGAACAAACTCCTCCCCTCCTTTATCTCTCTTTCCTTATTTAAATTTGCTAGCATTTGAGTCATAAAAATGACTCACTCGGAGGAGAGATGAGGATGGATAAGATGGATAAGGAAAGAGTAAGGAATTCCGAATCAGGATATTAAGGAAAGTTATGAAATTTGTAATCAGGATACTAAAAGGATTACAATTTATAAGAACAAACAAAATTTAGAGCTTCAGAGTAAGGATAATAAAGCATTTTAAACTGGAAAACAAAGGAAGAGCAATGGAAAACTCAGGATCTCATGAAAGTTAAGGAATTTAAATCAAATTTGAGACATTAAGGATCTTTGTTCTAGAAAAATAAAGGTATTTTAATTCATATTAAGTAATGCTAATAGATATTTGAATTGAGGTAATATAGGAAAATTAAGGAAATTTTTAAATAGTGAAGTAAAAACTTTGAATCAGGATAACATGAGAGATTTCAATCTAGAAAAGGAAATAGAAATATAGGATTTATCATGAGAAGTTAAAGAATTTTGAGTTAGGATATTGAAAAATCTGCAAGGATTTTGATTTAGGACTATAAGGGTAATTCAGGTCTGAATTAATGTAATTAATAGATTTAAGGAATTCTGATATGAAATTGAAAGAGAAAATAAGGTATTCTAATTCAGGATGTTATTGATCAGTTGGGCACAGCAGTTAAGGAGTCCTTCTACTGCTCTAGAACCAAAAATTGAATTTGGGTAAATGAAGAATCACCCAAAATCTTGTATGTGTTGAGCCTCGTCCCCACGTGACGCATATTGTTCATGCATTTCTCAAAATTACAGAACATTCACAAAGTACTCATGCATTATATTGTTCTCCAAATCTCCCAGTCGACGAATATCTCAAGGATAAATTCATCGGATGCCTATTGTAGACATGCTTTTAGTGACTTCTGGCCACCAATATGAAGAAAGGCAAACAGACTACAAGAGAAAGAAACTCAATTCTGTATAGAGAATAGAGGGAAGAATGTGGATAACTTCATACTAACACAGGAAGGAACTTCATAATCACCCTGTATACCATTAATTTTAATACATTTTGAATATAATTTTGCCAAATTATATTCAAAATGTATTAAAATTAATGGCTGAAGCATTACAGAGTGATCATGAAGTTCTTGTGTGTGCAGTTTAATAATTAAATATATAGTATTTGTAAATATAAACCTAACTTTGAATTCATTCTAAGTAGAATGAATAAAACAATGCTTAAACAGACCTCTCGTATGTCATATTTCAAATATAAATGGATGATCCATTTAGAAATGAGTCACTCATTTACAATCCTCCTTATCAAACTGACGAGGAAGATCATAAGCATAAGGCGATTTTATCAATTAGACAGTGGTTTGAATTGTACGCCGATTCACAATTTATTTTGTGCAAAATGATTGGATGTTAACAACAAAATTTTCAGAATAATCAAACAGAAATTTCAATTTACCGTATCTAGATGTTTGCATTAAACTTAATTATCTTCTCAGTTCGTTCACGCATACGTATCGAGGAAAGTCCTCGCAGGCGTGTGATCTTGGTAAAGATCACCGAGATCTTGAGTCCACGGTAGAGGCTCTTCTGAGGAATCAACATTTATCAGATTACTTACGAGTTGATCTGAGAGCTATTAAATGAGAGAGTTATAAGATTATTCCAAATCAAGAATGTATTTGGATCAAACTAACAAAAATTTCCGACGGAACCAAAACAGTGAACTAAATCTCACCTTATGCTGCGAACTAGGTTGAACCCACACCCTATTATTATATGCAGGAGAAGAGTTTAGAAATAAAATAAAAAACTTGAGAATGGAATCAATCTTTGTGATTGAAAATGAACAACATTCAAATATTATATCTTTTAACATATTAGGAAGTTTGCTTATCTTCTAAATAGCACAACATAAGTACCATTTAAAAGTCTCTGATCATCAATGAACATTAAAGAGAGCCCAATCTGGAAATAAAACAATTTTAAACTCCACAAACAATTTTTAATCATCTAGATTGTCAACTAATTCATATAATTACATAACTACATCATCATTATTAATTGTTCTTAATAATATTTTTTAAAATATACAAGAAAAAATGAGTACAAAATACTTGGAATGTACCTTTAATAATCAAGAAACGATGATGTTTTCGTAATGTACACATTCGTGATTAAATTTTTGAAAAATAAATAAAAAAATAAGGCATATTATTAATTCCAACTCTTAACATATCAAATATATTTAACTTATTCACATTTCTCTCCTTAATTTTGATTCCTCGTATAGTTATTATCGAATAGGCGACTTACAATCACTCAAATAAACTTTATAAAGTACACTATTTTTTATTTATTATAACATTTAAACATTTATATAGAGTGATTCGAAGTAAATTTTGATTATTATTAATGTTTTGTTTTCAAAAAACTCCTCCAAATGCATTTACCTTGTAAAAAGACTTATTCCAAACAAAATATTTTCATCAGTAAGTTAGATTTTTGAATGAATTCAGTTCAATCTAGCATGAAACTTATTTCAAAAATCTTTAATAAATAATGTAATATTTTTTTCCCATCAAATATACACATTCATAGTAGTGGTAAGTACTAGATTTACCTGTTTCAGGTAAAATACTGTTTATAATCCGTATAAAAATTAAAACGTCGGATTTACTGTCGTTAACAATAACAATACTTTTGTCGCGGTCTAAAATCGAGTGAGTGATGATAAAGTTTTAAATAGAATGAAATTAAGGGGCATGAAAAAATAAAATTTACTACATTGAAAGGAATTCCATCTTTATTGAGACTTTTTTAAGTGATAAAGTGCTTGAAAATAGCTGTAATAAAAATTAAAGCATCCGTTATAGTGTGTTTTACTTTGACGTTAAGGGAATATGTAAAATAATCTGCATAAAATTTTACTCTATTGCATCGTACAGCTTACAGGTTATCGTTACTCATAAATGAAAGATATTCTGTACGACATGCAATTAACAGAATAAAAGTTTAAGCAAAATGATACATTAACCAATAATTTAATTATTAATTATGTAACTTAACAGACTTTAGAAGATATTATATGATTAATAATATTTGATTTTTAAAACGTTTTCATTGATACGCATATATGTGTTATGGAAAGAAGTTTTATCTTCAAATTATGTGATTTTGAAATAAAAACGAATCTATTTGATTGTTATTTTTAACTTAAGCAGATGACAGAAAAAAACAATTCTACAGCAAGAATGATTTGTTTAACATGTTTTAATTTAGAATAAAATAACTTTAGCAGTAAATATAGAGTAAATGCACTTAGAAAACCTTAAAACTTTATTCAGAATCACTCTATATAAATGAAATTTAAACTATTATAAAAAAATATGTAGCTGAAAACAGTTTTCAATTCTATAATGGCACTGCTGAACTTTATCCNATGGAGGAGTGCGCCAAAGGATGGAATGCACTAAATACTTCTTAAGTATTCTGAGCTAAAATGGGGTGCGCCTTATAAACCGTATAATACGATAATATAATACAGAATTTGCTATTGAACTAATGTAACTTGCCGAAAATGGTAATACGTGTTTCCATTTATCATCATAGAAAAGGGACAAAATGAATTCTTCCTCATCTACATATGTACAATATCGTAAATACAAGTTGCCGCTATTCATACCAAGAGAGTTATTTGCACTGTTTTTGTGGGCAATGCCCAAATTTGGCCACGCATCCACATTCAATACACGTTTGAATGTTTAAGTGTCGGTCAGTATCATTGCATAAATGCTCAAAATTAATTAGAACGAATTAAATTAGGTTATGAAACTTTAAAATATTTCAAAAGTAAAGAGAGAGAGAAACAATTTCCGATTACAAAAAAAAAACTGATTTAGAAATTACACAAAACAGGAAATTTCCGTAACTGACATAATAAATAAGTGTTTAAACTAGGAAGATATCTTACTTAATTCGTCATAATCAAATGTTGTTATTTGACTAATCATTAGATTGATAATTAGAGTTTTTTCCCTAGATTTAACTCTGTCTAGAGTTTTTTTATTATTATTTATTAGGTGAAATAAGACAATCAAGGAATAGACAATCTGCCAAGAGGCGCCTTCCCGAAGGACTTTCGATAGAAGTTTACCTAGGTAGTCCCAATGGCTACACTTCCGGTCGCCATCTTGTTTGAGAACGCGACGACGTCAAGCAAGATGGCGACCGGCGCAGCTACTTATTACACCGGCATTTAAAGAAATAATCTTTCACTCACCATTGTCGCATTTCTAATTCATCTTCTTCGATTTATTCGGTAAAACACGTGGTTCGGATGATTCTAACGTAACTTGATACTTTACCGTGGTAGAAACATTTTCCGCATTCTTAACACACGTGTCTACATTATTCTTCTTAATATTTTCGGATATATTTGGCACTTACTTTCTGGTACAATATCTGGCTCTTTCCAAACAAAAACACGTCTCGCTCCCGGATAAAACTTACTTGTATGCTGAACAAATAGGTCGTACCTTTCTCCTAGTTTTTTTTTTTTTTTTTTCATTATGCTCAAAACAATCGTCGATTTCGACAATATTTCCAGGTCCATCCAATTTTCGTTCCGGTAAAATTAAACGACGAAACAATCATAATGTGTCGTGTAAAATTCACCCATTCGACCGCTGCTCGACTACTCACGCACAAAGCCAAACAGCTGACGTTCAACGCGCATTCTATGCAAATTAGATGCCAAATAAACAAAAACAAAATAGTTCCCCAAGAACTTTCCCCAAATTCATGTTTAAAAATCACTACTTCAAATGACGAACTATTCATTTTGCATTTGTGACATCCAAAAGTATGGTCATACCCAGGGCCGGCCTTTTCTATAAAGGGGCCCGGGTGCAAGAAACTATTTGGGCCCTACATATTTTGTAAAATAAAAAAAAATTACAAACACGAACATATATTAATGCATGTTTATTTAAAGCGTGATTTTGTTCTTGCTAATACACGAATTACTTGAGGAAAATTATAATTTTTGCAATTTCTTTTTCGATGCTTAATATAGCAAATGCATTAAGCGTTCTGCACACATGCTGGATCGAAGATAATATAATCATTTTTCACTTACACCGGCAAATGTCGACATTCAGCATGCACTAATGGTGAATGCTCAATAAAAATATTTTTATTACGTTAAGACAAAAATGCAACTCGTTAATATGTCAAAATAGGAGAAAGCTTAAGTAACGGCACATGTAAATAAAATGTTGAACTTAAAACGAACAGTACGTTCTAAATCATTATAGAATATAATACAATAATAAACTTACACATAAATTATGTGATTGACGTTGTACAATCTTATTTATTGCAATAACTTAAACTGTTATGGCACTTTGAGTCCCTTGCTTTTACAACTGCATTTATTCGTGGAACACTTCTTTTTGCAATGACAGCGTGTACAGTAAACAGACCCCTATAACACTGTAGGGGTCACTTAGATTTTACAAATACGTGTGTCGGGCTGTGAACGGCTCACGTATTTGTAAAATCTAAGTGACTCGTACAACATGGAATTCATATAACACGGAAATATCTACAGTGTTATAGGAGAGTCTACTGTATAGCCTTACCCTCTACTTTCGATTTAGCTATAGCTGCTTTACTCAGCGATATTTCTTAAGAAGAAATCTCATCTATGAAAAGTAACTTTTCTTTACAAATTACAACCTGATTACCGACACCCGAAAAGCCTTTCTGTCGACATCGGCTTTTCGGGTGTCGTTTCGACATCCACCAAAGCTTATCTGTGCTTGTCGACATACACCGGCGATTGTTCGAATGTTTAATAATATAACCAAATATTCGGTCTTTCATCGACGTATTTTGTATGTGTCGACATTTACCGGAGAATATCGACATTCTCTAATTTCGGTCTTTCACAGTAACATGTACAGGTACACTGCTTTAACCGAATCTATTTTGGCTTCCCAACGAGTGTCACATAATGGTTTAAAAGTAATGTTTAAATGCTGCTTCAATTGCTTCAATAAACTTTATAAATGACTCATTTATAATTAATTTTTTCTCTTCAAAATTTACATACCTAATAATAATTGAAGTATGTTCCTTATGGGAAATATCAGGAGTACAATCCATTTGGATACTATAGTATGTGGCTGCTTTTATATCGTCTTTAATTTTGTTAAGGATTTCATCTCCTAACGCAGAAATAATTTGTTCTTGTCATCTATGTGCTAAATGATGCACAATTCTATTTTTCGAATTTTTTATTCTGTTTATATGATACATTAGAACAGAGTGGTATTTACTTAAAACTACGACTATATGCAAATATTTCGTTTAGAAAATACTTACGTATTTGTTACTTGCACAAGAAGTCAGAACAAATCCGTTACCTGTTGTTACATGGAAATGTTAGTTTCTTAACTGTAAAACTCTGAAACAGCACTGAAAACTTCAAAAATTAATGCTGTCGGGTGTTCTTGGTTTGTAGAAAATTCTATTTCCAGAATTATCATAAAATTTTCTCACTTAAGCCACAAAACCACGTCAAGGTGACACCCACTTTGTGGTGGTTTTTTTTTGTTTCCAGAAACCAACCCTACTTGCTAGACAGCGTAGCAAGTAGAGAGAAAAACTGGATCGCGCGCCAAGTTCTTATAGGTAAAACGACCAATAATGACTTTTGTCATTCTCTTTGCTCGTCCTCTACCCATTCCAATCCAAAAAATATTCCGATATGTATTGTAAGAGCTTTATTTAGCGATTATTTATCGTTTGGGATTTCGCAAGGATATAGACTTTCAATTGCTACAACGGTTGAGTTCCCGGGTCCCACGTACAGGTGCAATCGTGCTCCTGGGCACTCAACCGTTGTACTAATAGAAAGTCCATAGCCTTGCGAAAGTCCAAACGATTAGACTCGGAAATAATTGCCAAGTAAATCTTTTACAATACGGAAACAATATTTTTCATTGTCTTCCGATAAATATTGTTTCTTTAACAATGTAGATCGAAACAATGAATATGCTTATTTATTAAATTTTTTATGTGAAATATTTAAGCTACTTTTATGAATTAATAATTTTATTTTTTATAATTATAATTTTAATAATTATAACATCGCTTTAAGTGTTGCCATCAATCTCATAAAATATGAATTTAGCCTAATTAATGCACGAATGGTTTTAATGAAAGTGGTAAATTCTAACATTTTAACAAGATTTAAGCATAAAACAAAATTAATAAATAATAAATTATGAAATAAAATAAAATAATTGACGTTTTTTAATTAATTTAATATCAATATTTTTTTTAAAAAATGTATAGATGTCGCTTTGCTTTTATTTTCCAATGTCGTCATTACTTTATGAAAATTAAGATAATTATACCAAAATATATATATATTAATATAACACACAAAAAATATAACTACAAAAAAATATTATGTTTTATTAATATGCCGGCCCTAGTCATACCTGAAGAAAATCAGGCAAAGGATTAAAATTTTTGGGTTCCAAATACTGTTCTTCTTCTTTCTCGTGTTCTATTGTTGCATGACTTTGTTTTTCAAGTGTTTTCATAAAATACAAAGCTTACACAAGTTACAGTTAGTCTTCTATTTCAATTGTCTTCTTCGCTCCTTTTTGGAAAATCTGGTCCAAACGCATGGCATTCTTTTCTAAACGAAATGAATTTGTATGTTGTATGAATTATGGCGATTCTCGGTGTTACACCGAAATTCAAATTGTATCTACACACATAAATGACACTATGTGTTACAGTAGCGTATGTAAGATTTTGAGAATACGTGTGCTGCTCACGGTATATTAGAATTACTTTGGTAATTAACGTTACTTAATTGAAGTCGTGTGATATGCTACAATGGTACAAGGGATGTACCAAAGCATAATAAACTTTGTTTATTAAATAATTTACTAGCAAACCTAAAATATAACTCCCAGGAATTTTTTAAAATGACGTTTCCAAAACATGCATCAATAACAGCACTTTCAATAACCTAAATAGGGTTTATTACTCGTAATGGCGGACGACTCACATAAATTACATATGGCGGCGCCCATAGTTTAGACTGTTAATTAGATGTATAATATGGAAAGACGGTTCATTGAGAGTGTATGAACTCACACGCAAAACAATTGTGCTGATATTAATCTAGATATTTAAAATATATGCTCTCCACCTGAAATTAGTAGTGACTTGCCCCCCGTACATCATACTTTTCTTTGACAATAGAGTCGTGTCGGTCATCTATTATTAACCGCTTTCTGGGGAGAAGTTTTGAATTGAAATAACGTGACCTCCGGTTTGCATGGGAAGTTCGTATTTAGTTAATTGGGGCCTCCCGTCCTTAAGGTTTCCATATATGGTCTAGGATTTCATCTAACTCCGTTCTCCGGATTAAGAAAGACGGTGGACAAACGACAGCGGGTATAGGTCTATAATTTTTTCAAATTGCAGCCCCGTAAGGTCACAGGTGGGTTCTTTGTGGCTCAATCTGTTTATTCTCCTTGTCGGGTTCTGCCTCTTCGTCCTTCACGGGGATTTCATGGTTTAATAATGCAATTTTCACACGAATTTCGCATAGAATTAATTTTCATTACTTTGAGAAAATTTCGTAGAAATTTTACCGCGTTTTTCATCTAAAAAAAAAAAACAAGTCTTATGCGTGAAAATTGGTTTTAATCGCGAGTCAGGATCTTACAATTATTAACAAAAGTACACGATTCTTCTGGTATATAAGGTATCTTACGAAAGGGTATTGCACGAGGTACAGGAGTACACGAAGGTATTTCATATTGCACAGACGTTAAAGCTTAATTTTGGATTTCAAAGAGGCAAAGATCACGATCCAAACGAAGAAAAGTGCCAAGAGAACCCCTAGAGTAATACTTTTGTACTTGGCCCAAGATTCGAATTTGATCGATTTTTTAGGTTTATCTTGAATAGAAGATTGAACAGTTGAACAGTGGCATTGCATGCCTTTCTCTACGCACGAACATGGATGTTTTTCGTGATTTGGGTACGTTAAAGTAGTAGTTTCGGGTTTCTCTTTGCAGCATTCCTTGCTTTCCGCTTGTTCGTACGAAGAGTTGGTTACCTGGAAGAGAAAAAGTTTGAAATTTTGCTTTGTTTTTTGTTAAAATTTCATTGAAAAATCGAACTTTTTTACATTTTAAATATGATTCTTATGATATAAAGTAAAAATTTCGTGTTATTTAGGGATAAAATACAGTTTTGTTCCCGAAAACATGATTTAAATAAAGAAAAATGATACTTTTGGGGTAATTTCTTTAAAAAGTAATATATTTTGGGGTAATTTTCCGTTAATTACCGGGTACTTTTCCCCCCAAACGTATCGTTATTTGTAAAGGTGTTTCGAGTCTAAAACCATCGGCACCCACAAGCCCGTGTTTGTGGAAGATTTCTATTTCCCATACGGGATCGAACCCACGATTTTTTAAGCATGTTTTCTTTTTAAACTTTCTCTACGTTGCCAGCACTAAAAGGGCCTTCATCGAGCTTATCACAGCTTTAAAAAAAGGGCCCTCTTCGTGGGTGGTTCGTCGCCCGTATCCTCAATGAAGGCACAAAGTGATGAGGATTAACAAATTATAGTAGTTCTATGCCGAATAACATTGGGTTCTGCTCAATTTTGGAGATTTTTAACGAATAAAAATATATTTTAGGGACTTTTTATTTTGTAAATAACGGTATCTTTTGAAGAATATATTTAAACAAACACACCTATATAAACAAGATACAGTTATTTAATAGGGAGATTTACAGTTATTTTCACGATAAAGCTATTTACAATGGGCAAGATAATAACTATTGTCGAAAATGTTAATATGGCAAAAAAAAACATACTTTTCTACATAAATTAAGAAAGAATACTTCAAAAAATCCCAAAATTCTGCTAATAAATGCATCAAAATGAATGAAAATTCCTAGCCTTTTTTTCCTTCAGAAAACAGGTTAAAGTGCAAACCAGAATAACCTCTTATCAACAGGTTGTCTGAGTTTTATATAAAGAAAAAGAATATAAAAATTATCTTTAAATGATAATAAAATGATAATTTTAATCATAAAAATTGTAAAATGTTAAATTTTAAGTGAAAAACCACAAATTTTTTTACGTATTTTTAGGAAAATTTGAGAGAAACTGCACACTGACCTGTTTTTAGGACAAAGAAACTAGCTTTCAAGGCCAATAAATAAGCAAATTTTAGCAATTAAACGAGGAATTAATTAGTTAATTAATTAAAATACTTAATTATAATTGAATAATTATTTTAGAAAGTTTAATTAAATAAGAAATTACACTTACAGAACCGTAGCTACTTGTGAGGTAGGTTGAATCATCGCTTCGAACTGGACTGACATTCAGCAACTTGACGTTCATTTTTACTTGTGTAAATTGTCTTCTATCACCTTTTGTATCACGTGAACAAACTCCTCCCCTCCTTTATCTCTCTTTCCTTATTTAAATTTGCTAGCATTTGAGTCATAAAAATGACTCACTCGGAGGAGAGATGAGGATGGATAAGATGGATAAGGAAAGAGTAAGGAATTCCGAATCAGGATATTAAGGAAAGTTATGAAATTTGTAATCAGGATACTAAAAGGATTACAATTTATAAGAACAAACAAAATTTAGAGCTTCAGAGTAAGGATAATAAAGCATTTTAAACTGGAAAACAAAGGAAGAGCAATGGAAAACTCAGGATCTCATGAAAGTTAAGGAATTTAAATCAAAGTTAAGACATTAAGGATCTTTGTTCTAGAAAAATAAAGGTATTTTAATTCATGATATTAAGTAATGTTAATAGATATTTGAATTGAGGTAATATAGGAAAATTAAGGAAATTTTTAAATAGTGAAGTAAAAACTTTGAATCAGGATAACATGAGAGATTTCAATCTAGAAAAGGAAATAGAAATATAGGATTTATCATGAGAAGTTAAAGAATTTTGAGTTAGGATATTGAAAAATCTGCAAGGATTTTGATTCAAGACTATAAGGGTAATTCAGGTCTGAATTAATGTAATTAATAGATTTAAGGAATTCTGATCTGAAATTGAAAGAGAAAATAAGGTATTCTAATTCAGGATGTTATTGATCAGTTGGGCACAGCAGTTAAGGAGTCCTTCTACTGCTCTAGAACCAAAAATTGAATTTGGGTAAATGAAGAATCACCCAAAATCTTGTATGTGTTGAGCCTCGTCCCCACGTGACGCATATTGTTCATGCATTTCTCAAAATTACAGAACATTCACAAAGTACTCATGCATTATATTGTTCTCCAAATCTCCCAGTCGACGAATATCTCAAGGATAAATTCATCGGATGCCTATTGTAGACATGCTTTTAGTGACTTCTGGCCACCAATATGAAGAAAGGCAAACAGACTACAAGAGAAAGAAACTCAATTCTGTATAGAGAATAGAGGGAAGAATGTGGATAACTTCATACTAACACAGGAAGGAACTTCATAATCACCCTGTATACCATTAATTTTAATACATTTTGAATATAATTTTGCCAAATTATATTCAAAATGTATTAAAATTAATGGCTGAAGCATTACAGAGTGATCATGAAGTTCTTGTGTGTGCAGTTTAATAATTAAATATATAGTATTTGTAAATATAAACCTAACTTTGAATTCATTCTAAGTAGAATGAATAAAACAATGCTTAAACAGACCTCTCGTATGTCATATTTCAAATATAAATGGATGATCCATTTAGAAATGAGTCACTCATTTACAATCCTCCTTATCAAACTGACGAGGAAGATCATAAGCATAAGGCGATTTTATCAATTAGACAGTGGTTTGAATTGTACGCCGATTCACAATTTATTTTGTGCAAAATGATTGGATGTTAACAACAAAATTTTCACAATAATCAAACAGAAATTTCAATTTACCGTATCTAGATGTTTGCATTAAACTTAATTATCTTCTCAGTTCGTTCACGCATACGTATCGAGGAAAGTCCTCGCAGGCGTGTGATCTTGGTAAAGATCACCGAGATCTTGAGTCCACGGTAGAGGCTCTTCTGAGGAATCAACATTTATCAGATTACTTACGAGTTGATCTGAGAGCTATTAAATGAGAGAGTTATAAGATTATTCCAAATCAAGAATGTATTTGGATCAAACTAACAAAAATTTCCGACGGAACCAAAACAGTGAACTAAATCTCATCTTATGCTGCGAACTAGGTTGAACCCACACCCTATTATTATATGCAGGAGAAGAGTTTAGAAATAAAATAAAAAACTTGAGAATGGAATCAATCTTTGTGATTGAAAATGAACAACATTCAAATATTATATCTTTTAACATATTAGGAAGTTTGCTTATCTTCTAAATAGCACAACATAAGTACCATTTAAAAGTCTCTGATCATCAATGAACATTAAAGAGAGCCCAATCTGGAAATAAAACAATTTTAAACTCCACAAACAATTTTTAATCATCTAGATTGTCAACTAATTCATATAATTACATAACTACATCATCATTATTAATTGTTCTTAATAATATTTTTTAAAATATACAAGAAAAAATGAGTACAAAATACTTGGAATGTACCTTTAATAATCAAGAAACGATGATGTTTTCGTAATGTACACATTCGTGATTAAATTTTTGAAAAATAAATAAAAAAATAAGGCATATTATTAATTCCAACTCTTAACATATCAAATATATTTAACTTATTCACATTTCTCTCCTTGATTTTGATTCCTCGTATAGTTATTATCGAATAGGCGACTTACAATCACTCAAATAAACTTTATAAAGTACACTATTTTTTATTTATTATAACATTTAAACATTTATATAGAGTGATTCGAAGTAAATTTTGATTATTATTAATGTTTTGTTTTCAAAAAAACTCCTCCAAATGCATTTACCTTGTAAAAAGACTTATTCCAAACAAAATATTTTCATCAGTAAGTTAGATTTTTGAATGAATTCAGTTCAATCTAGCATGAAACTTATTTCAAAAATCTTTAATAAATAATGTAATATTTTTTTCCCATCAAATATACACATTCATAGTAGTGGTAAGTACTAGATTTACCTGTTTCAGGTAAAATACTGTTTATAATCCGTATAAAAATTAAAACGTCGGATTTACTGTCGTTAACAATAACAATACTTTTGTCGCGGTCTAAAATCGAGTGAGTGATGATAAAGTTTTAAATAGAATGAAATTAAGGGGCATGAAAAAATAAAATTTACTACATTGAAAGGAATTCCATCTTTATTGAGACTTTTTTAAGTGATAAAGTGCTTGAAAATAGCTGTAATAAAAATTAAAGCATCCGTTATAGTGTGTTTTACTTTGACGTTAAGGGAATATGTAAAATAATCTGCATAAAATTTTACTCTATTGCATCGTACAGCTTACAGGTTATCGTTACTCATAAATGAAAGATATTCTGTACGACATGCAATTAACAGAATAAAAGTTTAAGCAAAATGATACATTAACCAATAATTTAATTATTAATTATGTAACTTAACAGACTTTAGAAGATATTATATGATTAATAATATTTGATTTTTAAAACGTTTTCATTGATACGCATATATGTGTTATGGAAAGAAGTTTTATCTTCAAATTATGTGATTTTGAAATAAAAACGAATCTATTTGATTGTTATTTTTAACTTAAGCAGATGACAGAAAAAAACAATTCTACAGCAAGAATGATTTGTTTAACATGTTTTAATTTAGAATAAAATAACTTTAGCAGTAAATATAGAGTAAATGCACTTAGAAAACCTTAAAACTTTATTCAGAATCACTCTATATAAATGAAATTTAAACTATTATAAAAAAATATGTAGCTGAAAACAGTTTTCAATTCTATAATGGCACTGCTGAACTTTAACCCCAAAGATTTAAATAATATTTCTCATTATCTTTGATAAACTATCAAATCTCTTATATTTACTAGAATATTCAACAAATGTATTATATATAAATATACAATGTTTAAACATATACTGCATCTGATTGTAAACATTTATATTTTCTAAATACTCCTTCGATACTTATATATATGTGTGTATATATATTATATATTTTTACACAAACATTTAAAATTATATAGAATTAATTATGACTTTTTAATTTCTAGATTAATTAGAAGAGAATATCTTCGTCTTCAGCATCATCTATTAAATTTGGAACACTGTCCACTTCAATTCCTTTAGCCTTTAATTCCATTCTTCTCTTTTCAGCTTTTTCCTTCTGTTCTTTCTTCTTCTGTTGAACTTTCTTTAGCCTATGTAATAATATAAATTAATTATTAAAAAATATATATTTTCTTATACATATATAGAAAACTAAATATTAAATTTTTAGTTTAAATATACAAGATAAATTTTTAATTATTGTTATCTAATAACTTCTATTCTAAAATGTTTTTGGAGATATTTTGCTCCATTTTCAGTAGCTCAAATATTATCTTATATTAAACAATTATCGCATATAGCAAGTTCTCGCTTATCATCATCAATAGGTTCTTGGAAACCAATGGACATGTAACGAAACCATGAAATTTCATATTGGCTTCTGTAAATATTTTTGATGCAAATGCATAATACAAGTATGCACTATTTTAATAATGGAGATACATTTTGAGAGAAATACATCATTAAATGAACATTGTAGACTACACATACACAAATCTTACTTGGTATAGTCATACAGGCTATATCTAGCACAATGCATTGTGTTAGATATAGCCTGCATGCAATGATAAGTATTTATGCATCTAAACAAAGAAGAGGTACAGGCAATTAAGAATTTTTCAGTGTCATTATGATCTTATGAGACCTCTGTCACACACGATTCATCAGTAATTGATGTATACCTATATATCGATCATCCTCTTTGTATTATTCAAAATAAGACTAAAACAAAACTTTGCCATTTAATTCTATTTCTTATTTACTTTTATCAATGTTGTCCAATTGAAGTTTCAGTTTATCAGTTCTTTACCGACTAACCTCTTACAAGTACATTTTGATCTGCCATTTCTTTCTTTTTACCCAGAAGGATTCCATTTAAAAACTTGTTCAGGGAGTTGATCATCATTCCTTCTCATTATAAGCCCTCATCTCTTTAATTTTAATTTCCTCATCAATTTTTGTTTACTTACTCTTTTATATAATTGTTTATTTGCAGCATCATTATTATTTACAAAAAATCTATTTGATATTTTGTAAAATCATATTTATTAAAACAAATTTTAGATTTTATTATTAAAAAGATTTCTGATTCATCACTTGATATCGTCTTAATAAGACTTGTAGACAGAAAACCATATGCAGTTTAAGAGTTATAATAATTCTAACAAATATAAACATCCAAATAACCTGAGCCTTATGGTCAAACGATAATATCATGCTACAACATGACTTCTAATAATAATTAAATATTGAGTAATTTTGTCTAGAGGTAGGCATTAGGCACCATCTCTTGATAAATTTAATAATTATGAATATATTAAATATTAAATAAAGATGAATGTCAGGAAAGAACTGCCAACAACAAACCTGTAAAATTCTTCTCTTTCTCTTTCATCCAATTCTGAAGTTATGTACGCAAGTGTACGTTCTATTTTTGGAATGATAACTGTAAATGAAACAAGAAACTTTTAGAAACAAAATCTACTATAGAAACATTTTTGAATCTTTCAGTTCATTCTCATTTACGTTAAATCATTCTTTATTGTCCTTTAATGCTACTGCTGTAATTATTACCAAGGATAGTAATAAAGTAATTTACCATAGCCAAGAATAAATCAAAACACTCAAAAATGTTTCTAAATTTAATAAGATGGTTTCAATCCCTGAAAAGTTTGAAATATTGTAACGATGGCTCAAACTTACCATGTTCTATAGCATTTACTCTGCGATTTGTTGTTCTAATAACATCATCTAAAATAATAAAAGATGTCTGTAAAGATGCTAATTTGACTAATAATTCAATTGCATTTCCGTAATTCTTCTTCAGTTTAGCTAATTGTTGTCCTCCTCTTGCTAATCCAGCCAATTCATAAGCTGTATGATTTAAATAACAAATTGTTAACTTTTAAATTAAATTAAAATCTTTGTATTTATTAAATTATTAATATAAGCATTTCAGTATACTTTCTAAATTGTATTTTGCAAAACTTTGTTATAAAAATTAATTCTCAAAAAGAATACATTTTAAAATTGGATTACTTGAATCTATCAGATTATATACACATTTGCTGAAGCTTATAATATATCGTCAGTATGTACAGATCTGATAGAAACAGCAGAGATTAATTAAAGGCACTTGGAAAAGAACTATCTTAAGAAATATAATTACATTTTGCGTAGATCTATGTTTCTCAAAGTAGGTTTTGTGTAGAGATTTAAGGAGTTCTGAAAGATGATATATTGCAAGTGGAAAGTATGTAGTGCACATACATTGAATTTATTAAAATAATGTAAATGGAAACCATTTTTGCATAAATATAATTATTAAACATGCTCTATTGCTTCTAATGTGTAAAAGCTGAGGATTATTTAATTCATTAGGAATTTGAATAAAAACAACTACATAGTAAGCAAGAAAAGTTTGATGTATAGTAAATACAAAGACTTTCTACTCTCTCAATATTTATATTTAATCAGGATTTCCACAAAATAGTGCAAATTTACCATGTGGCAACATCACTGGCAAAATAAAACAGTAACTGGCAAGTTAAATGAGCAATAAATTATATGCATTATGAATTAACACTCCCACTGATCATAATACTGTTCAGTGGTTGTGTGGGTATTCAGAATGGCAAATATTTCCGTGTATATTTTCCATAGCATCCAGTCCTCAACACACTATGGAATCATGTTTCACAGCCTACTGCGATAAAAGAGTGCAACAATAATTCTTCAGCTGATACTTGTAATCTGCTAATAATTGTATAAGTGGTTGGTTGAAAAGGTTACTGAAAATCAGTGCAAAATTTATTTTCTTGTAAATTCTTGTTGTAATTATATATTTAACATGATTATATGTTTTAGACTAAGTTCTTTGCTCGCAACAAGACGATTTGTTTACAAAGAATATAAAAGTTAGCGAATAATAATAAACCATCGAGGGAGGATTGTGTCATGCAATGAATTTAGTATTGCTTTCGATGTGTCAATTTTCGTTGTGGAAATAAACATGAAATTTACAAAAGTTGTGCATTTTTACAAATATAGACAAGAACGAGCTACTTATATTTCATAAACTTAAATTACAGGTGTTCGATTATTCACTTATTTATTTATAAGAAAAAAATCTCGCAATACAATTTCCACAGAGAATATCATTTTCTGTTCAATTATATTTATTTTACAAAATGTTGTATCTGTCTGAAATAGGTAAATAAAACTGAAAATACAAATAAACCAAACAAATTATTCGTATTAAAGTATTTTTAAAAATTATGCAATTTATAGCGAGATGCCGATTTTTTATAGTAGTAGCAAAACAAAAAATTAGCCAGTTCCATCCAGTAAAAATAAAAACAACTAATTAGTGCTAAAAATGTTAAGTACATACTATTGTTAGCATACTGTTATTCAAATAACTGTTTCCAACGAAAAACATGTGATTTATCTGCTATGAAAACATGTTACAAAGTCACGTAATAATGCTTATTGTAATGTTTAATAATAAAAAAAAATAGAGAAAACAAGCAATTACTTATCGTAACATTGTCACAATGCCAGGCTGCAGTTTTTCGTTTTCAATGTTTTAGTGTCTTTAACCTTTTATATGCTTTTCATGTTAGCAATAGAGCTGTGCTGGTCATCTATCAAACTCTGTTCAGGAGAATATTTTTTAACCGAAATAACATGACTCCCTATTTGCACCGGAAGTTTGTATATAATTAATCTGGTCCTCCTTCCTCTAAGCTTTCTATGTCTGGTCTCGACTTTCATCTATCTAACTCTGTTCTCAAGATTAAGGAAGGAGAGACAGCCGGATGGATGACAGTGGGAATTTATAGATCTACAATTTTTTCAAATTGCAACCCAATAAAACACTAGCTTCTGGCTTCGTTTCTGTTAGTCATAAAGGTGTGAGTACACTTTCCAGAATACATGCGAAATTTTCCTGGCGGCCAAGTCAGGGAAGAAGGCAAGGAAGGCTACTTTCCTGGCTTGGTAACCATGTAGGATATTCTATATTTTGTTTTATAACTTTTATAAATTTCATTTTTATTGATATTCACAAAAAGGAATCTAAAGTTACAATTTGTCACATAATATAGGTGTCCAATGCATATATTTCTTTCTATAACTCAAAACCTTTGAGTACAATTTTCCAATTGACCTAATGTGTTTTAGATGCAATTTGTAACAATTAATACGAAAGCAATCTAAAATTTATTTATTCTGATTGATACCCAGATATTTCTAAATTCAAATTTGAGAAAAAAAATTATATTTATTAAAAGAATTTTGAAAAAAAGTAGTAATTTAATAGTAACTAATTTTCTTAATTGATTGCATAGATTAAAAAATTAATAAAAATTCCACATAATTCTTGTAAAAGTTACGACAACAGTAGAAGTGTGAAACTTGCAATGTAATATAGAAAAAAAAAGTGTATTTTCTGGCAAAATGTTTGAAGTTTGTCAGATTTGTGAGAGTCAACAGAATACAGTTAATTAGTCCATCACACCTCACAGATTTGTTAATTAATTGTCAAAATAACGAGCAAGGTAACGCAATATTCTGTGTGAAGTGTTCCCATGAATTTTGGCCACTTGCATAATGGGTAGATGGAATGTTGCAATGGCGTGATATAGAATAAAAAATGGCAGAACGACTGGGAAGAAACATTGTATTTAATTAATATTAATATAATTAAAGCAATGTAATATGAAACAAAAACAAAATAAAGAAATAAAAATAGATATTATATGTTTTTATTGTACTTACTGTCTACTCCATCCCGGTAACTTTCAAATACGGGAATATTGACACCTGTAAAATATTTTACTATTAATTATTACATACATATTAATTATTTTTCTTTTTTAAAGTATCTCCAATTTTTACTTTAGCTGGAGATATGAGACAAAAAAAAAAGATTCACTTTACATAAAATAAATTACAGTATTTAATTTACTCTTCTAAATTTTATGCATAGACATCTTTAACGCAATACGGTATAGCAAAATCTATATTTTAAAAAATTTTAAAGAAAGTTGAATGTAAAAGTTTATTTGATAACCTTAATAGGTACTAAATTGATATTTATAGTAAGAATAATCACAATAAGGAGCTTTTCTTGCTTTTCAAATTGCTTTCAACAAAATATGTGAACCGTAAGCATGCGAACTGAAATCTGCTGGTTGCTTTAACATGAAAGAAAGAAAGAGAATTTATCTTCACTAAAATTAATTGCAGCAATAACACTATGGAATAATTAGTATTCTGATAGTCATTAGAAAATTGTTAATGACATTCTTAGATATTACTGCAAGGTAGATATTTAAATAAAGATCTAAAGTATGCAAACTAATACTTAGAAGTATGAAATCTTAAAACTTTTTAAGATTGTTAACAAAAAAACTTTAGAATCATTTTATTTGCTTTTTTTTTTATCTTTATTTGTTGGTGTTATCTTTGTTTTTAGGAAGAATACTTTCTGCTATTTTTGTAAATTATAATTTATAATGACAATTGATTTATCTGTTATAGATTTTGATGGTTGGTGAACGTTGTTCCGAGACAACTTTTGTCACAGAACCTGTAACAATAAAAACGAGTAACACTTTTATGATTTTTATAAAAGGTATAAATGGCATTATAGCAAGAAAAGTTCCTCTTTGTGAATACCCCAATATGTTGTTAATCTGATGATAGCCTTTTAAAAAGCCAAAAATCTTTACTAAATATAATAATTTTTAGGATTTAAAAGGTTAGTAATCTCTAAATAATAATAATTAAACAATATAAATAATTAACATATAAAATAATCTATAATATATTCTTCGGTATTACAAACCTGCAACATTTTCTCTCGTTCCTCGAACTTTAATTTGAGCTTTAGTAACATTTTGTAACACGATATGATTGAAATCTGCCTGAGCAGCAAATTTTGCTTCTGCCAATGTAAAAACTGCCAACTTCATGGTTTCACCCATAAGCATTTTTGTCTAAAAGATTAAAAACCAAAAGTTTATTTTAAATTTATTATTTTCAATATTTGGATTTATCAATAAAATGAAAATATCCATAAATTAATTATAATGCAATAATTAAATGTTTACAAATTCTTACAAATTTAAAAGCTACATAATTTAAACATGTGAAAAATCATCTTTTATCATACAACAGATATCTAACCTCTTAAGTCAAAAGCGAGGTTGCGGCTGAAGTTTTCATCTCTCAAACGTGAATGTCGAACATCAAGCGCCACTTACAAGATAGCGGCGCTCGACGTTCATGTTTGAGAGATGAAAACTTTGGCCGCAACCTCTCTAAAGTTTCTTTGCTAAATTTCATGTATTTTAATTACTAATCAAATCATTATTTTCTGATTATATCTTACAAACTGTGTAAACTATATACCTACAATGCCAAACTACAGCTCTTCTAGACCCTTATTGTGGCCCCCATAAACTGTACTTAAACAATTTCTTTTTATAAACTCAGTACATACTACTTACACATATGCAATATTTTTGCAATGTTTCTAATTATTATGTAGTTTAATATAAACAGAGCTTGTAAGTAAAACTTGCAACTTAACCTTGAGTATTTACTATATTCCACCATACAACTGATAATGTTTACTACAGAATTTTAATTATATGTAATATACTGTAAATAGATGATGTGGCTCACCAATGGATATTCCAATAGAGAATTTGACTCTGTGTATTTCTGACAGATAGCATATTGTTCATATTAATCTAACCACAGAACAGATTATGACTCTACATTTGTTTGAGCTGTCATCATGAAATCAAATACCATTACACACATATATATACAGTAAGACCCCTCGCTACCTCGCTTAACACTGATTTGATATAACGCAGTCTGCTCAAAGTCTAAAAAAACTCAAAATTTACACCGATTTAAATTATTGCAGCATTTCATTGATTGGTATATAATATGATTATTTACAAACATCAACCAATCAGAAAAAAGTGGCAAAAAGGTGTACTTTCTTTAAATCTATGTTTGTTTGGTGCAATTTTGGAAAAAATATAACATCATGGATTCCATAGGCAATAAAGGCTTCGCTTGGCAAGAATTAACCAATAAATGCACAAATGAAGTGTAGAAGAAGTTATGGCTGAAGGTATCCAAGAATTCTCTACGAGAAGAACCTATCTCTGTATCGATTAGGTTGACGATTTAGTCAACCTAATCGATACAGCAGGACTAGGAGATGTAGATGATCAGGATATTGAGGAGTTACTACAGGTTTCTGGCTAGAATCTTACCAACAATGACCTTCAAGAACTGGCAGAACAAGGAATTCATGTAAAACTGGAAAATAGAAATTCTGAAAATGAAGAACCCAAAAAATTTCTGTACAGATTTCCTTAGTAAAAATTTGGTAATGATAGCCAAAATTATTGATCAAATTGTAATGAATGATCCAAATTTTGAAAGGAGTGCAAAAGCAAATGAGTCATTTTGGATGCAATCTTTTGCTACTGACATTTGCTTAAGGAAAGATAAAAGCGACAAATAAAACTTTACGACTTTATTGCAAAAAAAACAAGAATTTCAGAAAAGTCAGAACCTTCATCATAAAAAATGAACTTTACATTTTTGTGTGCTTATGTTTATGTGTTACTTAACATATATTATTATGCAAATCAATATAAAAATAACTTAAAGTAAAATTTGTTTATTATTTTTGGTTGTGTGTTACCCAATCCCTACTTACTCTATGTTAAAATGACTTCATTTAACGCTGTTTCGTTTAGTGTTTTGTCATCTAGGAATGCATTGCATCCCCTGCAATAAGTGGGGTCTTACTGTGTGTATATATATATATATATAAAACTGTTCAGAATGTTGTTCATTATTCCAAAAACACTAATCTTTATGATAATGAAATGACAAACATTCTGTTTTAGATTTCGTTCCATTCCACGTTGGTTTGTTTCTTTGTAAGTAGTTTCAGTTTCCTTATTTAAGAATTGAAGCTTTTCTTTCGTTAAAAAAATATAGCTGAGATTGAGCAGTGTATACTAAACTTGAATTGCTAGAAGTTAAAATTAATGTTGCTATCAGCAACATTAATTTTAACAGAAAATACTATTGAATTATTAGAATTCAGTAGTATTTTCTGTTTTTGTTTTATTATGAATGCCTGACTATCTTTGTTACTGTACTTTGCTAGTTTTATTAAAAATTCCGTAATATTCATCATTTGAAATTTTGAGATCATAATTATAAAGATATTGGATAAAGAGTTTGGACTTTATATGTACAATTTAAAATAAACATTTTAACAACATAATAACTCTACAGCAATTTTTATCAGTTGTAATGCTAATATTGTATAAAGAGCAATGTGAGTTCATTGTTAATAAACCTGATATCTGATTTCACATCTATGAGATTTATTCTAACAGTTTTTAATTAATCAATAAAAAACATACCAATGTAATTAGTAAACTACTAAAAGCTTTTCACTCTATTGTTAATAAAATTTCTTTACCAAATTCTTCTTTTACATATTTTTGTAGAATATTATTGTGTTTTGTTAATGATTTATGAAATACTTTTTCTTTGTATATTTTTGCAATCAGAAAACTTTTTTGTATGGAATTCAATTTAGAATTAATGAACATGTTTTGTAGTACTACTATATATTTTACATAACTTGAGTAACAATAAAATTATCTGTACATTCATTATATAAGAATTAGAACAAATCAAATGCCAATGAGGTTAATTTGCAAACTGATACTTGTAAGCTAAAAGTAATGGCAACCAGCATTGAGACACTTGTCCCATTGAGCAACAAGCATTGTAATTTCATGGTCATAGAAGCCCTTTAATTCCTAATTCAGTTAGTCTGTGACCACTCCTGACCTCTGCATCCAAGACAAACCTGCAATCTTTCAGGTATTTCTTTACTGAACATATAAAAGTTGCATGATGAAAGGTCTGGATTGTTGAGTGGACGCTTTAGAATTTTCCATTTGAAGTCTTAAGCTTGTCACAAGTCACATTGGCAGTGTGCAATCTTGCATTGTCATACAAGAGGATCACATCATCTGACATCAAGTATGGCACTTATTCTTGATTGTTGTTTGGAGTCATTGCAGAATTTCATCCTACAGTCTGGACCTTTATCATGCAACTTGCATATGTTTGGTGGATAGAAGAAGCACTTGAAAGGTTGCAGGTTCACCTCAGACGCAGAGATACAAGAGTGGTCACAGACTTCCTGAAGAAGAAACCAGACTTGTGGGACAAAGGTCTCATATGGTAACAAGTCTTCTTTACAAGCTGAGGATGACTGAAAGCATAACTGAATAAATAATAATTTGATTTCCTGGACTTAACTATTAATTATTTTAAATTTGGTCATTTGATTGGTGAGATTTCACAAAGTATATAATATATTACAAATATTTAAGAAATTACAAACCTCGACAATTTGTTTCATTATCATTCTGAAACGAAACTGCAAAGCATCAGCTTTCTTCTTCAGCAAGCTGTGGCCTTTCTGAGCACCTTTCAGTCGACCTTTCATGAGAGTTAAAGCCCTACAATAAAAAATAGAAAATAATAGTAACTCACGTGATTGATAAAAACTGTCTTTGCTCATTATCATTCCATTCAATTGACACTGTGACTACCATTTTATTTTGGTCAAAGTTACTTAGCAGTTGTAATGTTATTTCTCACACCTTTTATTCATACGGGTTTGATCAGCCTCTATCAAAAGTCTAATCAAACTTGTGTGAATAAAAGACCTCTCAATAAATACAGAGAAACAAACTGAAGTATGGCAGTTAATCCAATGGATTAACATTATTTAAATTCTCGAAGATAAAAGAAAAATTTGCAGTTAAAGAAAAGTTTTTTTACTTTATTTTAAATAAACTTTACTTTCATGTTTGTAATTATGCATGATGAAGCTATTTTAATGAATAGAAACATAGCTGGCCAAAATTATGGAGCAAGTTTTGGGCTACATCCAAGGCCACGAATGATGAAACTATTGAGCGTGCACATGAATTGATTCTGGCAGATAGACAGTTGACGATGTTACAAACCATTTTCACATTAGTCGTGGCTCTGCCTATGCAATAATCCATGACCAACTTGAGTTTTAAAAAGTATGTGCAAGATGAGTACTGAAAGAACTCACAGAAGTGTTTGAACATCTGCAAATGACATTTAGACAGATACTCTAAAAAAAAAGAAAAGTTTCTTGCAAAGAATCATTACCGGTGACAAGACAAGGATTCATCATTACAAGCTGAGAGTTAACAGCAGAGTATGCAAGGGAAACACCTCCAATCACCAGCATGGAAAAAGTTCAAAGGTCAACCATTGGCAAACTGTAAGCATCAATTTTCCAATTGATGCTTACAGTTTTCTGGGATTATCAAGGGCCATTATTGGATCATCATCAGGGAAAAAATGAAACAATCAACAGTGCTTGTTACAGTGAAATGCTCACTAAAGAAGTGAAGCCTGCAGTTCGAACAAAACACAGAGGACTGTTATCCAAGGACATTGTGCTGTTACATGACAATGCATACCCACACAATACTATCCACACTGTTGACACAATCCAAAAATTTCATTTTGAGGTGTTAGAGCATCTTCCCTATAGTCCTGATCTTGCTCCATTGGCCTATCATCTGTTTGCTCCCCTAAAAGAAGCCCTATGGGGATGAAGATTCACATCTCCGACAACGATGTTAAGACAGCAATGCATTTTTGGTTCAAAACTCAGCCAAAAACATTTTTAATGAAGGAATGTGAAAACTTGTGGACAGATGGACGAAGTGTATTGAAAAGTAAAACAATTATTTCAAGAAATGATATATTTGACTTGCTGAAGGTTGATTAAAATATGTTCTGCAGCCAAAATGCAAATAATTTTTGTCTTACTCTCATAGATCAATCATAGCAAAACACATCTGGCTTCTAACTAGTTCAGGAAGATGGTCAGAAAAAGTGCAAATATACAGGATATCTGAAAATTACTGTGCAGTGGAAAAGCTTTAAGTGAAGTTTTACATATGATAATGCAGTTTCTACTACAGCAAATGCTGGAAATGTCTCCAGAGACCTTAAAATCCAGGGACATGAAGTAATGAGACCTGGAAGATCTAAGCAATCAACAAATAAATCTTCCAAAAACCAGAACATCTGTGAACAAGCAGTAACACCTACTACAAATTGGAAATGTGGAATATACAACTTACAGGTTTTATATACGACACCATATATATAACTTTAATGTCAATACAAATTTCTCACTGCACAGTAACTTTTTGGACACCCTGTTTTTGGGATAATTCGTCCATAAAAAAAATTCTAAGATTCCAAATCAGATTTGAACCTTAGAATGATATTTTTGCTATTTTATAATCTGATTAACATATTTATTTTAATATATCAAAAACAAAATTTTATTGATTTGGCAACCAAAGATATCAACATATTATGAGATATAAAAGCCAGCAAGTTTGTCCATTACAAACAGATTAATCATAACTGAACAGTTCTGAATCAATGTTTATTGTCATCTGGTGACTCTGTTGATGTGAAATAAGAGCTGCATCATTACATCCTCAAAGAATTCCAACAATTCACACCTCACAGCAGCAAGCAAATCTTTTTGCCACTTAAGTCCAGTTTATAGTCTAATAGCAGGATAGGATTTCAAAGAGTCTGAAACAACAGAGTCAAAAATCAAGGGAAAATTGATCTGGGTTGTCTGCAGTGTAGATACATAACAGTGGCTAACTCAGGGTACATTTGTAAAGTTGAACAAGTTAAACGTGTTAGTAACGAATCGTTCAAAAAGTAGTAATCTTGCTCAGTGCACATGTTCTGCGGTGAAAACATTTCGAATGAAACTCTAACAAAGTTCACTAAGGAAAGAGTTAGTTCACTTTGTTAAGAAAAATGGCACCCGACAATATCAATGTTTCTAAATCTTCTCAAGTGTTTAAACTATGAATTAAAAGATGATATGATAGAAATAACTGTCCACCCGAAGCAATCTAAGAAAAACATTTCGGATAAGGCTGCACAAGCAACATTCATATCTTCGATTTTAGAAACAGCCATTTAGTTATAAACGAATCGGTCAAAAAGTATAACGAAATAAGAATAACAATGACGTCATTCTCGTTTAACTCATTCGACTTTACGAACATAACCTCAGTGTTGCATGGATTTGGCATGACGAATCGCACCACTATCACTAGATCAGAAGCACGCGTCTGTAGTTCAACATTTAGCAGAAAGGAAGACAGAAAAATGTAGCAGTACTTCGTGCCACAATGCCATTAGCTTGTACAGCAATTCTTAGTTCATTGGTTAGCAGAATCCTTGTAACACAACATAGTAGAACATTACATAACAGTTTAACTTTATACGAATAAAATTAACCTAGAATTTCCAAAATTAATACTCATTTTTCTATAATGAATGCAAGTTAGATGCACGTACAAGGTTACCGTTTATCAATATCGAGAAAACAAATTAATAACAGAAAACGATGACGAGTAAGAATCATTTCCAGGTTTTCCCATTATTTCTTAATTATTGCAACACAATAACTTGGTAAATAACTGTATATTAAACAACATACAAGCCAGTTTTATTTACTTACTTACACATACGGTATAACCTCCGAATAGCGGACACTGCCAAGACCAAGAAGTTTGTCCACTACTTAGAGGCGAAACCTCCATTAACGGACATTTTTACAATCCTCAAACCCTTCAATTAGGACATATATTTTATTAACCTCTAAATAGCGGACAAACTCCTCGGTCACGACGGTGTCCGCTATTAGGAGGTTATACTGTATAATAATGTCTTATTTGAAGGGTCTACGGATTGTAAAAATGTCCGTTTAATGGAGGTTTCACTCTATATAAAATTTCGGTAGAAGTTACTTTTAGGTAAATGACACATGACGTATTTACGTACAATTTACCTAAAAGTAACCTCTACTTATAGTAGGCTTATTTTCATGAGAAAATCTTTCCTTATACCTTAAAATATATAATATATGTTAATATACTTACATTCTAGATGGAAATATGGAAATTCTATCTCTTGCGCTCATTTTTGATTGTTTTTAGATCGGTTTAAAGCAATTTCTACGAAACTTCCTAAATGAATACGAAGTGTTTACTTCATCACAAGACCGAAAGNTAAAAAATAATTTCAAATAATTGCAATTTGTTCTTTTGTGCTGTTGAAAAATTCAGTTTTAGCAACTGATGAATTTAAAATAATGTAAATAGCCAAACTACTGTACTTCAAATGATGACGTTCTGGGTCATTGAAAGCTTGTATGGTGGAATGGTGATAATGTAAGCCCATTCATTTTCTTCTTTAGTGAGGCTCCCTTTCATTTATTGTCGAACAAATAAAATATTTAGAATACTTGTTTATTAATAAAAAGCAACCTTAAATATTTTATTTTTTATTAGTAAAAAATAACATTCATTATATGGATAGAAAACACAATGGACCCCTAAGTTTTCTCTGGGGCTGGAAAAATTCCTGGCTCTCAGCAGTCCAGATAATGATGATAATTCATGTTGTTATATTTTAATTTAGTAATAATTCCTTTTACAATATATTTTTCCAGTATCAGACTTGTAATTATCATTACAATATGAATCTGAATAAAAAATTATTTAAATAAAGTAAAAAACTGTTAAGGCTAAATTTTGACATTGTCCTTTTTCAAATCTTATCTGAAGATTACAAGAACTTTTGACAAATTAAAATTGTTAAGATAAAGATCTTTAATTATGAGATAAAATAAACTCACAACATTGTTTAACATCAAAAAGGCAATCTTTTACTTTATTTAATGAATAATTTTAATGTTAAGTGTCATATTTTTATTATATTATTTTTATTTTTATAAATATTATAATTATGTATTTTATAAATTTTCTTCTGTACAGTATTAAATAAACTGAACTGTTAATTTAACAATTTTGATAATAAAACATTTTACATTTTACTTATAAATTTCTTAGACATAAGAAATGGAGATGGCAAAAATCAAGATATCTTCCACCTATCTTGATTTTATAGTGAAAAAAACTGAACCAACAACAGTTTCTCCAAGCATTCAACAATAATCCTCACGGTTTACTCCTGCAGATAAATTTCTTATTTCGGCAAACGGATAGTTTTATTCGGATGGTTAAAGTATTAGGAAATTCCGCTTTCAATCGTACACACGGAAGACAGCCCACTAACCCGGTCAAAAACATTAGCACTATTTAAATTTCACTCACAATTAAAGAAACATTGATTAATTTGGCTAAAATATTTTACTTTAAGAAACATTTCTCATCATAATTTGATTAATTTCAGCTCACGTAACTTAACACAATGCATTTCACAATTCATTAAAACAAATTCTTTAGAATAAAATATGTATTCACTTAGAATCAGATTTAATCTTAAATTTAAAGTTTTTAAATTTGGAAAAATTAACTTAATACATAAATCTAAACACAAAAATCTAAATAAAAAACATTAAAAGTTAACTTCTTTAATTTAATATATGCAAATTCATGAATCATTTGTTAACCATATATAGCAATTACAAATTCTATACCCAGGCCATATATGGAATGTATTCTACTTCTACAAATGTATATAATTGCATTTGATAATTTAACCGGAAAAACTTTAAAAAAATCAAATAATTTACATTTATTTAACCATTTAAATTGACAAGTTTAAATGCTAACATAATGAACACATGCATTAGTATAAAATTAATCAATTTCATTTGGCAAATTGCACGTGACTTAGTAAAGTTGTTTATTAATTAATGCAGTTTAATTTACACGACGTAAAACATATTTTATATTTATTATAATTTGAGTTGTATGTTTTTTTTAAAATAATAAATATTTTAATAAAATATATTCGGAATTTTATTTAAACTTACATAAATCACAGATTATCGACTTGATTAATATAATTTCACGTGTAGACAGGCGTTTCACCTATGCATTTCTAATTCTTCGTCGGTAAAAACTGAAATTTTAGAGGTTTTTCTGTGTCCACAATTTGTTTACAAACAAGAACATCTTATGTCTCTCTCTTTCTATAATAATTCGTTAAATAACCACTACGTGGCACTACGATACAAGGTATATTTGACAAATCATATCTAGTTTTATTATGTCCCCTTGGAGATATATTATATATAAATTAATATAAAAATATTAAATTAAATTTTTAATTTAAAAAATAAAAATTTTAAAAATATTTTTACTAATACAGTATAAAATATTTATGTTGTTATTTTAAAATAATACAAATAAATAAATCCACTCAATGTAGTGTTTCAAATGTATATTAATTAACTAGCATTTGTAGGACATCCATTTATTTATGGAATGAGAAAAACCTTGATACATGTGAGGTAGTCAATAAATTGAAAAACAAATATTAGCATGTTTATTATTTTGAATAAGTATACTTGATTCTGATATTGTAAATAAATCCATTTATAACTGTGGTATATCAATGCCATATTTTTACTTTAATTTTTAGTATTAC